GCTGCTTGTCATGGAGGTGGCTGGCAGTGTCTCCCCCACCCCTTCCTGTTCTCTCTTTTCTCCTCTCTGTTAGTCCTGCCTATACTTCCTGCCTGGCCACTGGCCAATCAGTGTTTTATTTATTGACCAATCAGAGCAATTTGACATACAGACCATCCCACAGCATGGTTAGCCTATTTTTTTTTCCTATTTGCCAGTTATCTCAGGCAACTGCAAACTTAGCCAGTTACCTCTAATCGTTCCTATGTGTGTGTCTAGAGGAAAGCTTTTTGTACTGAGTAAACTCCAAGTCAGCCCAAATTATGACAGTCCAGTTTACGAAGTTATCCCGAGAAGCACCAGACAGATTGTCCTGGCTGGTCTGTGTCAGCTTGACACAAGTGGTGCCATCTGAGAGGAGGGAGCCTCAGTGGAGAAAATGCCTCCAGTAAGACCAGGCTGTAGGCAAGCAAGCCAGAAGAGTATTTTCTTAATTAGTGATTGATAGGGGAGTGTCCAGCCCATCGTAGGCTGGGAAACCCTTGGATTGTTGGTCCTGGGTTCTGTAAGAAATCAGGTTTAGCAAGCCTTGAGGAGGAAGCCAGTAAGCAGCACCCCTCTGCATCAGCTCCTGCATCCAGGTTCCTGCCCTGTTTGAGTTTCTGTGCTGACTTTCTTTGATGATAAACAGTGATGTAGAAGTGTAAGCAAAATAAATACTTTTCTCGCTGGGCGGTGGTGGCGCACGCCTTTAATCCCAGCACTCGGGAGGCAGAGGCAGGAGGATCTCTGTGAGTTCGAGGCCAGCCTGGGCTACCAAGTGAGTTCCAGGAAAGGCGCAAAGCTACACAGAAAAACCAAAAAAAAAAAAAAATACTTTTCTCCCCAAGTTGCTTCATCACAGCAATAATAACCTGAACTAGGGCACGATCATATCACAATAGTGCTTTGGGAATGACAGTTTGAAAGAGTAACAGCCATGTCTTTTATCTTAGGTGACTGCCAGACTTAATTCTCACTGAGCTGGCAGTCTAATGCCTCTCAAAGCTCCTTCTGTGCTGGAGAAAGGAAGATAAGAATGGAGCAAATAAAACAATCCAGATCTCACTGTTCTAGTTTCAGCCATTTCCTTTAATAAGCATTGCATACATTCCCTTTGTTAACTCCAGAGTTCTGAAGATCACTGGGGCTCTTTTTGCTCTATGAGAAAGACTTTGTGAAGGTTCTGGCTTCTTCCACATCACTGATGTCACTTCTCTGGTCACATCTTTTGATAAACTCCTCTTTTTCCCTTGGATTGTGTTGGTACTTTTGTTAAAAATTTGTTGGTCATAGATATTTAGATCTCATTGTAGATTCCTGTTATGTTTCATTGGTTATCTGTTTTCTTTTTGCAACTTTGAAACTCTTGGCTGTTTATCCTTATAATTAAATAGGATTCCTATTAGCTTTAGGATATTTTAATTAATATTTTTTATTTGTGTTTTTTTAAAGACTTATTTACTATGTATACAATGTTCTATCTGCATGTATTCCTGCATGCCAGAAGAGGGCACCAGATCTCATTGCAGATGGTTGTGAGCCACCATGTGGTTGTTGGGAATTGAACTTGGAACCTTTGGAAGAGCAGCCAGTGCTTTTAACCTCTGAGCCATCTCTCCAGCCCTCTTTTTTATTTTTGAAATTAAAATATAGTGACATCATTTCTCCCCTCCCTTTCTTACCTTCAACCTCTCCCATAAACCCTTCCTTGCTCTCTCTCAAATGCATGGCCTTTTAAATTATTGTTACATGTATATGTAACAGTGACTTATATAAATATATGAATACAACATTATCAGTCCATATGCTGTTACTTGTATGTATATAATTTCAGGGCTGACCACTTGCTATTGGAGAACCAGTTGGGGTGGGGGGCTCTTCCCTATGGAAGACTACCCCCCCCCTTCAGCTTTCCTTAGTTACAGTAGCTGTCACGACACCAGAAGGTGCCAGGCAGACTTCCAAGGGAGGAAAGCAGCCAGAAGTTCTACCCAGCTGCGACACCATGAACTGCAGCGACAGCTAGATGGCACACTAGCTTGAAGGGCACAACAGAGGCATGCCCATTCTGGTAGTAACCACAGCTCTCTAGCCGGGGTTAAGGCCTGTGTTACAAGAGGGGCATCATGCCTCACACTGGAAAGTTCGCCACCTGTGGGAATTTTGTAGGCACAATTGTATCAAGTAGAGGAGAAGTGGTTGTTTCTCATAATTTTCATGTGAGGTTTTTTAAGTCAGAGATAAATGTTGAGTTTTTAAAATGTGTATTTTTATTAACATGGTCATATGGTTTATCTAATATAGTCTACTGATGTGATAAATTATCCTGGTAGTAAACAGTACATCCTACCAGGATAAACTTCACTTACATCTCATTTCCATTTTGTATCTTCCTAGGTTAATTTTGACAATATTTTGTGGAAGATTTTTGCATCTATACACACAAACTTAAATTGATAAACAAATACCAAATACCAGAAAGGGCATAACTACTGGTCAAGACGAATTACTTAGTTCTCCCAGTAGCAACTAGAGGAGCAACAGGTGGAGTGTAGAGCCAGAGGATAGGGTCTCACAGAGACTGGCAGCATGCCCAGGCCTGCACAGCTGGACAGGGTCCCAGCACTGAGGGGGCAGGTGGACATGGGCTCACACCCTTAACCAAGAAGCCATCTGCAATTGTTAGCTTCTGGCAATGGAAAAACTAGTTTCCTCCAAAGGTGTCTCCCTGGGTGTATCAACCATAATTCAGGATAGGGGCCCACGCCCACGAGTAGATGGCCACCACAAAAAGAACTCAATGGTATTTTTGTCAACTTTTGTCTCGTTATACTTTGTTGGAGCATTTATTGTCTTATTGGTCTTCTGCTTGTCTACTTTTGCTTGTGTTTTTGTGGTGCGGTTGTGTGTGTATTTCCTGGGTTTTGTCTTTTTTTGGTGGGTGGCGAGGAGGGGAGGATTTGGGAGAAGTTGGGGGAGAGAGAAAGCATGATCAGAATACAATGCATAAGAAATTTTTTCAATAAAAACAAAAAGTTGAAATAAAATATAAATAACTTGTTTTAAATACCCTAGAGCTATCACACAGACTCATCAAAATTCCACTCTCTGAGAAGGGAAACATGCGCATAGGCTACTTTCCAATTTCCAGTTCAACTGTTATTTTAAAATAAGATTTCTTTATTTAAAATAATTTTTCTCCTTTTGTTTTCAAAGGTAGACATAAACGTATTGAACCAAACCCTACAGACCCTAATGGAAGAAAATAAGCGTCTGGGAGATCAATTGTCTTCCCTTGAACACCACAGAGCCGCTTGTGACTACCATGGGGTGGGTATAAACAGGTCAGTCTGGAGGAGAAAATTAATACAGCTGTAAATGACTGTCACAAGTGATCTGCGATACTGACGAACCCAAATGTACCTGATATATTAAAATACATCCTTTTCTGTAAATTATGAGGAAGAAACTTGTATGTTTTTTAACCTGTTCTTTCCCTCCATTGAGCAGTCAGTGATACGTGTGATGGCTAAAAGCCGTTTGATAAGGTCTGTACATTACAAATGAATGACGTGAGTTCTTACAGCATCTCCAAGTGAAGAGGACTTGGCTCTTCTAGGAAGCTAGTGCTTTTCCTGTGTACTTGACTATCTAAGAATTCTGAGTGCTGTTTTAGAGCATGTGAAGAAGTTCTTAGATTTCACAGAATACCCAATGTCCTTTTCAGTCTAAGGTTATTTTTTTCCCAAACTCTGTCACAACTTGCGTATTACTTCAGCTCTGAAGAGTTACATGGACTAAATCTAAATCTTTCCATGTTTTCATGCTTTTGAGCCAGGCTGCCTTGCTAACAATTTTGCTTCTGCCTGAGATGATATTTAGTCACTCGGATCCTTGGCTTCTTAACCTCTCAAAATGAGAATAATAGTACAATTGCTGTAAAAGGTGTTGGGGGATTAAGTTAATACGTGCAAAGCATGTAGCAGGTAGTTTTAGCATTTTTAAATTCTTAGTTTCTGGGCTGTTGTGACCAGCGGGAAGTCGGTAGTGCCTGTTGGGGAAAGGAAACCCACCAGCTGGGACTCCTTGTGTGATCTCAGACCCCAGCCTTCTCTTGCTCCAAGATTAAATATCCAGTCACGCTCTGTGTGTTGTCCAGACCTCTGCGTGGTCTGTCCAGTTGTCTGGACGACTGTGTCTGCTGCCTGGTTTCCTGAACCCACACCACTTCCAGGCCTGTGGCCTCCTCCAACTAGTGTGGATCTGTCAGTTTTTAGTCAGGGTTGATTCTTTCCTGTTCTTCACACTCTTGCTGTTTAGGGTCTCATGGTGCTAGCTTTCATCTCGGTTCTGGCCTGAGTTTGCCCCTACCTAGAAACTTGCCATCAAACCGTCAGGGAAGTGTTTCAGTGGACATATGAGTCTCAGGATTTGTTTTATTGATTTTGCACTATCATTAAAACTATTGCTAGTCAAATGCTGGCAATGCATTTTTGTTCTTTGGGGCTTAAAACTTAAGATTCTTAATAATGGGAAGCTTGTAGTATAATCCCTCACCAGTCTTTAGAGATAACATTTGGAGTATATTGCATCTGTAACGTCACAGACTCGAAACCTGACCAACTTGGATTTAGACCCTGGTTCTATTTGCTGTGTGACCTGACCTGGCCTGCAGCATTGAGAGGATTTTCCTTTTCTATGGGACTCACCTGGCATGCTATGTATAACAACTTTTACCACACTGACTAGAAATTGACCTGTTCATGCATTTGCCTTCACTTTCTAACCTCGTGAGAACAGTTGCTATCTACTTTTACTCCCATGATTAATGCATGAGAGAAGTCATGCCAATCTTGTCAGGCCCCAGAGTTGTAGGATTGAGTGTCAGGTGCCTATCTCAAAGCTTAGCATGCCGTGTGCATGAATAACATTACTAATATTTTCCCCACCTTCCCTTGTTTTGGGTTGCCCTAGTTGGCTTTTCTATTGCTGTGACAAATAGTGATAAAACATATGATAAATATAAACATATAATAAAGGGGAATAAAACACAATGACAGAAGCACCTTGAGGAGGCAAGAGTTTATTTCATCCTAGCAGTTTACATTTCCATCATGAAAGGAAGTCAGGGCAGGAGCTCAAGGCAGGAGCCTGGAGGTCGTGATTGAAGCAGAGGCCGAGGCAGAGTACTGCTGACTGGCGTGCCCATTTGCTTTCTCATACAACCCAGGACCACGTGCAGGGGTGGCTCTGCCCCCAGTGGACTGAGCCCTCCCACATCAATCATTAATCAAGAAAATGTGCTGTAGACTTGCCTACAGTCCAGTCATATAGAAGCATTTCCTCAAGAGAGGTTTTCTCTTCATAGATAGGGTCATCTTGTATCACATTGACCAAAAAAAAAAAAAAAAAAAAAAAAAAAACAACTGGCACAGAGGTTTATTTCTGCCATCTCAGTTTTTAGCAATATAGGATTGAGTCAATCACTACAGGTACTTACACAGGCATCACAGTAAGAAAAGGGCCACAGGGAGGGAGGTCACCATTCCCAAGCCCAGGTTGATTGACTATCTTTCCATTTCCCTTTAGGTTTTAACTCTAGCTTTCTAAATAGAAGCACCTAATATAAATAAAATTACCTATGCATTAGGACTTTGATGAAGTAAAATTAAACAATTGCTTAAATACACTATTTCTTTAATTTTTTTTTACCTTTTATTAAAAATAGATTTTCTCACAAAATATATCCAGGGTTTCCCCTCCCTCTCCTCCTTCCAGTTCTTCCCCACCTCCCTTCCCATCTGGATACACTCCCTTCTTGTCTTTCATTAGAAAAATTTAAAACACAGGCTTCTAAGAGATAACATTAAAATACAACAAAATAAAATATAACAAGATAAAACAGAAAGATCACATCAAAGTTGGCTAAGACAAACCATCAGAAGGAAAAAGAGCTCAAGAGAAAGTACAACAATCGGAGACCTAGTTATTTCTACACTTAGGAACCCCATAAGAACATTGAAGTGGAATTAATAATACATACACAGAGGACCTGGTGCAGACCCGGGCAGGCCCTGTGCTTGCTGCTTCAGTCTCTGAGAGTTCATGTGAGCTTTGCTCATGTTGATTTAGGGGGCCCTGTTTTCTTGGTTTCCCCCATCCCCTCTGGCTCTTACACTCTCTCCATCTCCTCTTCTGCAGGGTACCCTGACCTCTGAGGGGAGGAATTTGATGAAGACATCCCATTTAGGGCCGAGTGTTCCTTCAGAGGTCGCCTACTGTCTGCATAATGGGTGGCTGTGGGTCACTACATTTGTTCCCTTGCTGCAGGGGAACTTCAAGGATGCTATCCAGCCTGTGGATAACTTTGTGTCAAAATTAATTCAATCTGGGGTTTTATTTTCAATCTGTACCATGTTTTTTTTTTTTTTTTTTTTTTGGTTTTTCGAGACAGGGTTTCTCTGCGTAGCTTTGCACCTTTCCTGGAGCTCACTTGGTAGCCCAGGCTGGCCTCAAACTCACAGAGATCCGCCTGGCTCTGCCTCCCGAGTGCTGGGATTAAAGGCGTGCGCCGCCACCGCCCGGCCAATCTGTACCATGTTTTAAGTGAATGTATACTTATAAAGTAACTTGACAAGAGATATCTCACTGATTTTGTTTATTCTTCTAACAGCTGTTGTTAACTTTCTAGCACAAAAAGGATCTAGGTTTAGTTTCCAAAATTGCAAGAAAATACCTTACAAAAAAATTCTGGCTATTTTTCTCAGCTTCCGATCATTGTCAACATAAGAAAGTATCTGGATTTGTAATTTAACTGTTTCCATCCATGGTTACTTGGACAGCTGCTTTTGGGCCTTTGTAAGGAAGACCATCTTTGTGGGTCACGTGAGGCAGAGGGCCGGCTCTCCTCTGAAGAGACAGAGAGGCCCCAGGACCTTGTTCAAAGGGCACACTCCAGTGGACTAACATCCTCCCACCAGGTCTCCGCACCTCTTAAAGGCTCTGCTGCCTCCCGGTGGTACCCATGGTTAGTAACCATGCCCCAAGCACAGCCTTTGTGGGGTGCATTTCAGAAATGAGCTGTGCTGCTGTTCATCCTTGCTAACGTGGCTTTCTTAAGGTAATCTTTTTATGATTCTTTCCTGATTTTCTAAGTACTGTTGTTTCCGTGTGCCAGAAGCTATATATTCGAACAGTCTGAAAACTTTAATATTCTAAAACTATATATTCTAACAGACTAAAAACTCTCCTATTCTAAAAACTTTTGTAAATCTATATATTCTAACAGATACTATCCTTTTTCTTTGTATGGCGTGTGTCAAGTAATTCTCCAGTTTTTTTGTCTTGATCTCTGTTGTTAGTAGTCTATGATAATGCCAAGGTTATCTAAGCAAACACTAATTTCATTTGTGTTCTCCACAAGTCAGAGTCTTCATTTGAGTAATGTTAATTTATGTTCTTCCATTATTTAAAGTGCGGGGACTATCTGATAACCTGTAAGCAGGAATTTAAATAAATATCTAACCTTTTATTAGCTTTTTAAAAAGTAAAATATAATTACATCGTGTCCTCTCCCTTCCCTTCTTCCCCTCCAACTCCTTCCATGTGCCCTCCCTCAACCCCCACATCCCACCCTCACACCCTCTCAAGTTGATTATTACTGTTTCATTATATATCCATAAATATGTAAACATAACTCACTATCTTTATAGTGTGTCTGTGTGTATTTGATTTTAGGGCTGACCACCATGCGTTGGATGACCAATTAGCGGGGCTCATTCCTGGTAATTCTCCCTTTCTCAGCAGTCATTAATTGCCTGCAGTTCTTTGTTTAGGTGTGAGGCCCCATGAGATTTCCCCCTTCTGAATTAACGTCTCTATAGATACTGTCATTGTTCAGGTCTTAGTTAGACAACCATATTGTTGAGGTATTATGAGTATAGCTTCCCTCTCATTTCTAGGGAACATAATCTCAAAACAGACTACCGTGTTCTCTGGCTCTTACAGCCTTTCTGCCCCTCTCCTGTGGTGTTCTCTGAGCCTTAAGGTGTAGGGGTTGTGTTGCAGATGTATCCTTTGTGTCTGGACTCCCCTAAACCCATGGACCTCTACTTACAGCCAGTTGTGGTTTTCTGTAACAGTCTCTGTTGGCTGTAAAGGGAAGCTTCTTTGAAGAGGGCCGAGACCTGCACTTTCTTGTGGTTATAAGTTGTAGAATGTAGTTAGGAATCTTACTGGTCTAGGAAAGTGGTGGTAATGCTTCTAAGACCCATGACCTCAGTAGGTCTGTTGGCTGACTAGGTTTCTAGTACCAAGCATGATTTGCATCCCATTAGTGGGCTATGAATCCAGTAGACTGCTGTTGGTTACCACTAAGATACGTGTGCCCCTATTTTGCTTTTAGAGATATCTTTCCGTGCTTTTTGTTTTTATATTCATGGACATCACACATGGCTATGACTGTTTATTGCTTCCCTCTCTTGGCAGCTTACAGAGTACTTTTTGGTGCTCTCATGAAGCTGAGCCACAGGAAGGGGGCTTTCTTGTTTAGCTCCAGCTTGAATCTTTCCAGTTGTGTGTCCAAAGTATGTGGTGTCTTCAGCAGTAGGTACTTACCTTCAACTTCTGAGGGGCATTTTTTGAGCTGTGATAACTATAGGTTCTTCTTCAGCCAGAGGTGTGGTCATTGTTCCTAAAAAACTGAAGGGTCTTCTTCAAACAACTTAAAATCACTATGACAACTCACCAGATCTGGGTTGGAACATATCTATGACCATTTAACTAGCAGATCAAAAACAAGCAAAGAAAAAGAATGCAGTACAAAGAACAAGACACTCTGGACTCTTAAGGCCTTGTGTCTTCATTAGCTGGCTCTGTACATGCTGCCTGTCAGCAAAATGATGTATTGTCTAGGGAAGGTCTTAGAGGAGAGTAAGTTGCAAGTAATGTGATATGCTATACAAACAGCAAGGGTATTGATGCCTGTTTTAAAAGGGAAGGCGCGTCATTTTGCCTGTGAAAGATAATGATGTGTGTGTTTGCTTTATCAGTTTGCTCAGCAGAAAGTGGAAAAGGCCTTGGAAAAAATTACTGAGAGCAAAAGTAAACTGGCCTATGAAAAGGGAAAACTCCAGGTATGGGATTTACCTTTAGATTTTTGTCTCATGTTTGAAATAGTGATTGTTGGATTAAGTGTTGTTGACCTTCAGAAAATCTAGCTCTGCCATTTACTAACTCTGTAGCCTCTGAACTTCCCTAAGTTTATTTCTTCATTATCGTCCAAGTGACTTCTGTTCATAGATCAGTAGTATAATGATGAAGCCACAACCCATTCTGTGACTGTCTGAAGCCTCAGTACAGCCATTTACGCAATGCTGTTCTGTGAGAACATAGAGTGCCTAGGTGTTGTGAGTTTGGTGACTGTTTGTAACACACTCTTTGAAAACTGGCCTTGTGAGGCCACAGAACGAAGTCTGCTGTACTGAGTAGTGTGGCAAGACTGTGAGTGAGTGTGAAGGATAGCAGTTTTGTCCCCATGGTGCCCCCCCCACAGCAGGGAGCTTGCCTCTGATGTTGCTGATCCCCACTTAGACCAGCCCCAGTGGAAACACTAACCACTAATTTGGGAGTCCTGAATCTCAGTTACACATTAGAACCAGATGGGATTTTTTTTAAATCCCAGCAATAGGAAATGTATATTTACTATTCTTTTTGAAGTACATCCAATTAGAAAAAGTAGATTGGAGGACACTTAGAGAAAATGATATGTGATAAATAAAAAAAATAGGTAGAATTTAGGATGGTGGACAGGTTCATATTCACAGAAAGATCTTTCAAGTTTTCTGCATGCTTACATTTTTTCATAATACATAAGATAAAAATTCCCTACTATGACTGTAATCTCAACACAAGCAATTAAATCAGAATTTAAGTCTTAGACTCAATACTTTGTAAAGCTCCCCAGTTGAAACCAGGCATGATGGAGCACACCTATAATCCAAGCCCTCAAGGGGAAGAAGAAGTAGTAGAATGATGAGGCCAGCTGGAGCATTAAGATCCTCTCAACATAATGAAAGATGCTCTCCAGATGACTCGTGTAGCCCTAGGTGAGGACAGCTGGGCTAAACAGTGTGAAATAAGTTCGTTTAGGCTTCGGACTGGACAGCTGATCTGCTGAGTAATCTCACTGTGGGTTTGCCAAGCATGCTAATATTCATCTTTCCCTCACGTTCACATTAGCAGACAAAAGGAGGCCCCGAGCTGAAAGACAAACTGAAAGGTAGTTGACATGAGTTATGCATATGGAATGATCCTAGCTTCAGTCCTCAGTGCCACAAACCAAACGGGAATAAAAAAAAAAAAGGCTATTTCTAACTCGAAAGCTCTTTTCAAGTTCTGAGTGAACTACCACTTTATTTCAGTGTTATTATGTATACTAAAACTACCTGGGCAATATAATGAATGAATATTTATGTTACAATGTAAACAGGTTAAGAGGGCTCTTTTAATGTTTTGACTGTCTCATAATTAATACAGTATTACAGTATATTAGAGTTATAGGTAGTGATATATATATAAATATATATGTATATATATTAGGGTATATACTATATAATAAATGCTGATTATATATAATATAAATTCAGATCAATGAAAACGGTGTGAGGGGCTGAGCATGGCCTCAGATCCTGATGTTCCCAAATGTACTGATGAGCTAACCATAGAGTGGGTTTAGGGTTCACCAAACCACCAGATCTGAGGGAGCAGGGTTCGTTTGCTTCTGACTGCTGTGTTCAGATTTTAAATACTCTGAGTAAGAATGTCTACAGATGAGAAACTCAGAAGACCAAGTCCCTTCACTGGCAATGTGCTGCTAGTAAGTTCCAGGGCATTCCATTGTTCTCAGGGGCTACGATACCACAAGTCCTCAGGAGGGAGGATAAGTGATTTTATCCATAAAATAGTCCCTTTATTTAAGAACTCACAGTAATCCTTCTGCTTCTGCTTCCTAAGGACTCAGATAACAGGTATATACCACCATGCCTGGCTTTAGGAGTTAATTTTCATATACAGCTCAACATGTTAGAATTCTACCTATTCAACTTTCCTAGTTTTCTTTGAGCAAAACAAGACTGTCGCTTTTTTTTTGTAGATTGACACTTCTAATTATCCACATTAAGAAAAGGTTTTGAATGTTAGGTACTACAATTCACTCAAAATTGAGATTTATCCACAGGACATCCCACTGTTTTATTCATGATCATGTCCATTTGGATTTTTCTTAGGCCATAGAAATCAAAGTATTGTCTTGGCACATTTACACATTTGTAGCCTGCCTGTGGCAGCCAGTTAAGACAGAATTGTTTGCAAGGTTAGAAAAGTGGAGGATTTTTTTTCAAGTTTCAAAAGTTCTCTATTTTTTTAAGTTTATGACCTCTTCTTCCCTTGGAGATCAGGCTTACTCATTCTTGTTCTGTTTTCCTTGCAGACAAAAGTTAAACAGCTGGAAGAACAGCTGCACTCTTTCAGTGAGACCAAGCTGCAGAACGACCATTTGCACAAGCTGAATAAGGCTTTAAAGGTCAGACATGCTCAGGTACGATGTCTCTGCAGAGAGCAGGTTGCCGTCTGGAGCAGGTACAGCGCCGCAGGGTTTAAGGTGTGGCTTGATGTCTTTCTCTGTACCCCCCCCCCCCAGACAGCCATGGGAAGGTGAATGCTCTCTCTTGACTCGGCTTAAGCTGCTGCTGAGACAGAACTAGAATGTTCAACATGCTTGGTTGAACGAATGTAGCATTCGTTGAAATTTGTTGCAGAATAGAAAGCTTTGCCTTTTAGAAGAAAAGGTTTTCCATGACCACTCATAAGGAGCAGCATTGCTGTGAAATGTGTTCATGGGTTCCATAAGCTATTAGCTTTTTTAGTCCAAACCTTAACATTTTTTTGGCAAATGTGAGAAACAAGTATCTTTGTTTTTTGAATTGTAGGCAAACGCAGAGCTGAGTGCCAGCAAGGCACACCTGCAACAGAAGGACGCTCACCTGAAAGAGGTATTGACGGTAAAGGGCTTTCATGTCAGAATGGTGCCCATAGATGCCATACCTGATGTGGGTCACATAACATTTCAGGAACAGTAAAGTTAAGCAAGCAAAATATAGAAAGCACTTAATAAAGAACTTAACCCATGAATCATTTTACTGAAAGAAAACAATTCAGTTCAGTGATTACAAGTCTACCATATATGCAAATTAGCTCACTATAAAAATCTTGGACTCTGAGTATAAACAGAAAGTGCTGTCTGTGACATTTGTGTACATAAACTGCCAATAACCATAGTGCTAGAATGTCTCCAAGTGGAATGCCCATGGGGTTCTGACTAACAGACTCTGCTGATGAATGGTGAGGTCACAGAGCTGTAAAGAGGCCCCCATCAGATATACTCTCCTGAGGAAGCTTGGGCTGCAGCCTGCTTCCTCCCTGGGTCATAGACAACAGTGTGATCTTTTCATTCTTGACAACAAGGAATACATTTTCCAGCTTCTTCCAGAACATTCTGCCATTTCTCTTACTGAAGTGGGTACTCCTGGAACAGTAAGTCTTAGACTTACTTGGTTCTGTTACCTGTGGCTGGAGATGCCTCCAAGAAGAAGGAAATCTCCAGAGAGGGCCACGTCTTCGAAATCCCTCGAAGCGTCCCGGCTTTATGTCGGCAGTGGGAAGGAGAAAGCTCCAGCGGTGGCCTTGCCCACTGTTATTCCGAACTCCACGCGCCGAGTGACCTTTGCACCTGCCTTGCCTTCTGTGAGAGTGTCTCAGGAGATTGGAGACTCCAGAATCTCTCTAAAGACTCTTCTGAATGCTATTAAAACCATGGAGGGAAGGCTGGAAGGCAAAATAGACATTCTTGCCTCAAGACCTTTACTGAGTGAAGAATCATCAAATTTTCTTAAACGAGATTCAGTAAGTGAAGACACACATTGAGTCTTAGGGAAATTTCAGACTTGTATAATAATTTAGAATGCAGTAACAGTCTAGAAACATGTTTGACTGGAGTAACAGGGAAATTGACATCCCACCAACAATAAAAACTGGCTGCCACATAATTTTGTTTGTTTTCATAGGAAAGTTGGTTTAATAACAACTGACTTTTCCAAATCAAACTTTGATATTCTAAAATTCAAAATTTATGCTTAATCATAAAATTTGAATTGAAATACTTAGCTAAAGAAAGATTGCTGTTAAAATAGAAATATATTAATCCAATTATTCCTAACATATTGAACATTTGGAAATATTTTTAGAGAAAACTTGTCAAAGCATCAACCTTTGCTTGATATTTAAAAACAATAACTACCATACCCTATTTTCCAAAGAAGTATTTATATATTTTTGGTAACTATTTTTGCTAGAGGAATAGGGAACTGTCAATAAAACCAGAGTGAAGTACTACCAAACAACATCTACTAGAAATACTCAGTCTTTGTAGTGGTTCGAGGGCTTATGCAAATGTCAGAAGCTGCCAGCTTGTGCACTGTATTTATGCAGCTTGCTGTATGTCACAAACACTTCAGTAAAGCGTTGTAGAAAGAATTATATGAATTATTACCTGAAAAAGGTTGCCCTATTGAGATCTTCACCAGTTTTGAAAGGAAAGAAGCAGGAAGGCAGTGGGTGAGCCTGTCAGGGAATGGCTGGGATTGGAGGAGCAAGTATAAAAAGGTGCTGTAGTTGGTGGACCAGCTCCGCAGGCTGCTTATCCAGGACACACAGATGCTCGTGTGGGATAAAATCACACACAATTCTGTATGCACCCACCCCCCCCACACACACACACACACATGAAGGTTAGAAAGAAGTCAGTTGAGTTCTGTAACCTGGGTGGTGATTGTGGCAGTTCACTGTGTTGAAGAGCAGGACATTCTGTGTACTATTTCGTAACATTCTGGGGACCTATAGTTATTTTGAGATAAAGTTTTAGAAAGAGTATCATGTAAAATAGTATGCTTGTTTGAAATTAATTGTGCAGATCTATGAAAACTATCTCATACTTACAAAGTTCTAGTGTTTATGCTTTTGGGATTTTATTAAATCAATAATCCATTTGTGTTTTATTTTTCTCTTCTGCCTTACCCTGTCTTCTTCTACCTTCCTATTTTTAGACCCCTTCCTTCCGTATGCTACTAGTTATACCTTAATTTTATATTATTTAGGTTTAGATTTCACATATCACAGGAAGTGTAATATTTTCCTTTTTCAGTGTGGCTTATTTCGCTTATATGATGCTATCCACTCCCATCTGTTTTACAACAAATAGCAAAATGCATTATGAATATATATACCACATTTTCTTTACCCATTTATCTACTGTGGGGACGTGGCCTGGTTTCACATCTTCACTGTCATGACCACTGCTTCAGTATTGTGGATGTGCAGCTATCTCTGTGGTTTGCTTAGATTCCTTCATGTATACACAAAGGGGCGTTGTGTAATATCATTTTTTTTGTTTTGTTTTGTTTTTCGAGACAGGGTTTCTCTGTGTAGCTTTGCGCCTTTCCTGGAACTCACTTGGTAGCCCAGGCTGGCCTCGAACTCACAGAGATCCACCTGCCTCTGCCTCCCAAGTGCTGGGATTAAAGGCGTGTGCCACCACCGCCTGGCGAAATATCATTTTAACTGGGTAAAGATGTATTGCATTTATTTATGCTGTGGAATATTTAACTATGTGAAGGTGTGTTACATTTGTTTCTGCTGCCTTTGTTAATGATGTAAAGATGTGTTGGTGTTTCACCTTGCCTGCCTAAGGCACCTATTGGTCTGAAAAAGAGCTGAATAGTCAGTAGCCAGGAATAGAAAGGATGGGCAGGGCTGGCAAGCTGAAAGAATATATTGGAGGAGAAATCTAGGCTCAAGAAAGAGGAGAGAATGAGGGAGAAAGATGGGACGTGCCTGGGACCAGAAGCCAGGCAGCCACCAGCCAGCCAGACATGAGGCAGCAGGAAGGTGAGACAGAGAGAGAGAGAGAGAAAGGTGAAAGGCCTGAGGCGAAATGAAGATGCAGAGAAACAGGGTAAGCTATAAGAGCTAGCAAAAAACAAGCATGCGGTAAGGCCAAGCATTTATAGCTAAGAATAAACCTCTGTTGATTTGGGAGCTGGTTGTGACCCAAAAGAAAAAGCCTGGAGTGGTAGCGTGGGTTTTAATTTTTTCAGAGCATCCACGCTGCCTTCCACAGTGGGTGCACACGTTTTCATCCCACTAGCAGTGGGAGAGTTCCATGTTGCTGCCATTCTCTCTTGGTGATGGCCATTCTGACTGGGGTGAGATGAAATCTTAAGGAAGCTTCAGCTTGCCTTTCTCTGATGACTGAGGGTGTTGAATAGTTTTTTACACACTGATTGCCATTTTCTTCTTCTTTTGAGAACTGTATGTTCAATGTATTTGTCCATATATGAAGTGATTTGGGGTTTTCTTGTTTAATTGTTTCGAATCCCTTATAAATTGTAAACATTAGCCCCTGTTGTTGCTGTAGTTGGCAAGGATTTTCTCGTTTTGTGTGCTGTCATTTCGCTCCAGTGAGGGTTCCTTTACTGTACAGAAGCATTTTAATTTCTTAGAGTTCATTGGTCAGTTCTTGATTATTCTGAGCTATTAGAGTGAGTCCTTTTCATAAAGTTCTTGCCCGTGGCTGTATCTTTATGTGGGGTGGGGAGGGGAGAGTGCACGTGCCATGATACATGGGAAGGTCAGGGGACACATTACGAGAGTGGATTCTTGTCTGCAATGTGGGTCCTACCTAGAGTCTAACACGGGTCAAAAGCCTTGTTAGAAAGTACTTCTGCCTGCTGAGCCAGCTTGCCAGCCCCAGCCCCATGCTGTGTGTGTGCGTGTTTTATTTAAAGATTTTTTTTAATTTTGAAAATTTGTACTGAGTACCGTTGACATGGTTTTTACTCTTCCCTCTAGCCTTCCAACTCCTCCCATGCCTCCACTCTCACTTCCTCCCATATTCATGACCTCTTCTTTAATTATCATTATTACATATGCTTCCATAAACACCGCTTGCCCGAGTCCATTTGGAGTTCTTGTATGGATATGTGTTTAGGGCTGACTGCTTAGGACTGCATACGTTTTCAGTTTCTACTCTTGAGATGACTGATTCTCTCTGAACAGCCATTAATTGCCTCTAGCTTCCTCTAGGAGTGGAGCCTTGAGAGATTTCCTCCCATCCACTTTGGCATGTCAGCCGATATTGTCACCTTGTCACCATGCAATTCTTTAGGTGATCACAGTGTTCAAGTTCAGTGTCGTATTTAGAGGATAGCATCCCACAGCAAATGCCGTGCCTCTTAGGGTCTTTCTGTCTCTTCTGAGATATTCCCGGAGCATTAGGTGTAGGAGCCATGTTGTAGATGCATCAGTTGGGGTTGGTACCTCACCGTCAATTGTTATCTGCATGTTGACCAAATGTGGGTTTCTGTAGTGGTTGGTCTCTGACTACTGTAAAAATAATATTTCTTGGCTGAGATCTACACTTAGCTGGGGGATAATACTGTGGGATAAGTATTTAGAATGTAAGGAGAAACTATTCTGCTTGATGGAAGTGGCAGTGGTAGTTTGTCTCTCTCTCTAGAATCCATGATCTCATCAGCTGGGAGTCGGCTCTCTTGACGTGCTTCCCTATGTTTTCCTCTAGCAGTTTCAGAGTTTTAGTGTTCAACTAAAGCCTTTTGAGTTGATCTCCGCACACATGGAGCCGCTTGGATCTACTTGCATTCTTCATGTGTAGATCCTGCTTTCTTAGCCTCACTGGTTGAAGACTCTTGTGTTCTCATCAATGTATGTTTCTGTCACCTTTGTCAAACTCTGGTGGGGATGCTAATTTCTTGGTCCTCTGTTTTGTTGCATTGACCCATATGTCTGTCTTTGTGGCAGCAGCATGCAGTTTGTAATGCGGTAGCTCTGTAGTATAATTTGAAAACAGGCATTGAGATGCCTCCAGGTATCTTTTTGTTTTCTCCAGGACTACTTTGCTATCTGGGATCTTAGGAGTTCACATATGAATTTTTTTTTTTAAGATTTATTTATTTATTATGTATACAGAAGAGGGCGCCAGATCTCATTACAGATGGCTGTGAGCCACCATGTGGTTGCTGGGAATAGAACTCAGGACCTCTGGAAGAGCAGTCGGTGCTCTTAACCTCTGAGCCATCTCTCCAGCCCCACATATGAATTTTATATTGTGTTTTCTAGTTCTGTGGAAAATGCCCAAAATTTTGATGGATAATATGGGAATCTGCATATTGCCTTTGATTAGATAGCTGTTTTTATAATATTATTGATCTGTGAACATTGTCAATTTTTCTTTTAGTATATTCTTCAAGTTCTTTTTTTAAAAATGTAATCTTTTAATTTATTGATTGGTTGGCCTTTTTTTTTTAGACAGGGTCTCACTATGTAGCGCTAGCTGGCCTGGAACTCACTGTGAAGACCAGACTGGTCTTGAACTCAGAAATCTGCCTGCCTCTACTTCTGTGTGCTGGGATTACTAGCCTCTATTTCTGTGTCCTGGGGTCACAGGTGTGGACCATTGTGCCAGCTCAGTTTCGTTCTTTGGTTTCTTAAAGTTTTCATTGTAGATTTTCCATCCTTGGTTACATTTATTCCTAGGTATTATTTTTAAGCTATTCTAAATAGAATTTTTTTTTCCTAACTTTTTTCTCAGGGTGTGTATTCATTATTGACACATAGTCACTGGTCTTTATAGGTTGATCTGTGTCCAGGCATCATGTAGATGGGGCCCTCAGATCTGAGGGTTTTGGGGTGGGATCTCTGTAGTATTCAGGTCTACAGTTTGTTGTTGCTGTGAAAAAGCAGCCGCTACAATGAGGGTTTTGTTTTGTGCAGATGCTGAGGGGGAGTCCTTACAACAGGAAGACACACCTGGGGAGTCCTGGGGACCA